ACCACGATCACAACTTTTTGTCTAAAGAGTGTATATTTATGTGAGCCACTTTGTCTAACTGTAGATTAAAACACCATGTAAAGTGTAAACCATGGTTTTACTCACAGACCCCTATGTACCCCCTGAGAAGTGCAAAGTCCCAGGTTGGGAATGTCTGCTCTAGGAGCTAGATTGTCAAGCTTCTTGGGCCAAGCTGTGGCTGTGGATCCCAGGTTTCGTGGTTCTCGCCCCCTTATCGCTGTAAACAACAACAGTTTTTCACTTTGGGGCCGTGAGTACTTTAAAATGGTGATGGTCAAGTCCCACTATTCGATTAGAGTAGTCCACCAGTTGGCGGTGGGTACTGTTCTAATCTGTCACTTCAGAATTAAGGGCAGTTAGCCCTTGAGCTAGTTTACACGGAATTGAGCAAACTATAACTTCCTGGCCATGTAATTATGTATCTTAGAATCATTTTCACAAGTTTCAAACACTAAAATGTTAATTAACATTCGGTCCTGAAATAATACTGCTTCAACATATCAACAACTCTTGACATTACTGATAAGCTAAGGATATTTACAAAAGGGTTCTTTGAAATAAAAATTACCGGAGACTTCTTACATAAGATTTCAGCCACAAATAAAAGCCGAGTTATGCGTGAGAATGGGTGTCTCTATATTGGATATGATCAACTTGATAAGCATGTGGTCCCGTCGGGGCGGAAATGGTGATTTGCACTGATTCACTAGGACATGTGTCATACGAAGAACACGCACAACTCTTACAGTCAGTCAACATTTAACGGTGAACGAAGTAAGCTTGTGTGCGCCCTCTTTCATTGAACTTCTGTAACGTTAGAATAGTTCTATCGTGGTATGTTTTAAACAAAACGGATAGCCGAAATGTTTACAGCGGTAATCGACACTGAAGGCAATACAAAATATGAAGATACTGGTTTGGGTTTTAGTGTGATACGTCATTGGTTTAATCGGTAAGTAGGCACGCTGTCCTATTTAACAGGGTCATCATGATCACATGCTTACTCTAAAGACTGTTTGAATGTTTATTGCTATATTAAATGTATTATTTTTGTTTTTTACCTATATAGCTTTAACGAAATAATAGCCACCACCAAAAGAAAACATACACACTACGTTAGAGAGGAAATAGGCCCGTACTCAGAATGTTTGAATGTTTATTACTATATTAAATGTATTATTTTTTTCCTCTAACATAGTGTGTATGTTTTCTTTTGGTGGTGGCTATCATTTCGTTAAAGCTATATAGGTAAAAAACAAATAGGCCCCGTACTCAGAATGTTTGAAAAGGGGGTTCTAAATTGCGAGATCAAAAGCCAACACATATTTTGCGAAGCACAATTAACATGCTAATGCTATGGGGGTCTGGGGTCATGCGACTATTTCAAGCCAGAAAATGTCAATACTTCACAAAAAAAAAAATGTAGCCTATGTAGAAAACGTTAAATACCACAAACAGCTACGCTCTAACTATATAAGCATAATGTTTGTTAGATCACAAAAATTGGGGATTCGCTCAAATCCCCCTCCCCGTTTTGCGCGTTCAAAAAATTTTGGGTTATTTACTAGGACAAGAGTAACAACAGGGAATCGTCAATAGCCGCGGCACTTGAAATTCTTTTAGCTATATTTTTGTGCGCCAGCGATACCAAGCGTGGGGCGTGCCTATACCCGATTCGATTTTATTACTCATCAGGATCTCTAACAGCCTAACCTCAAGTTGAAATTCTTTTAGGCAGGGTTAGAATAAGTTAATCTATGAGACCTTGGTCAAATACTTCAATCAAAGGGTTTGACGTCTTGAATTCAAAATTCTAATTAGATCTCAAGTCGGTCAAGAAATGACGGAGCTCAAAGCCGCGGCTAAAAACGTGTTAGGCTAGGTGCAAGCCATTACATGCTTCAGTTTATTGGTCAAGGTAACTTCTTTAATTTATAATACTAATTATGTTTGTTTGTTTATTAAAGATGGCATGTTTAAAGAGGAAAGACTTCTTTCTTTGTTGGTTGTTTCTGTAACTTAGTGTTAGCAATTAATAATTCATGATATTTTTTCTACCTTGTAAGTCTATGTCAGGACCTAAGGTAATTATTTAGGATTTGCTGTAAACTCTTTACCTTTAAGATTATTACGATTTGAAATGACGGAGTTTTGATTTTTTTTTTTAATTTCGCGCAAAGCTACACGAGGGCTATCTGCGCTAGCCGTCCCTAATTTAGCAGTGTAAGACTAGAGGGAAGGCAGCTAGTCATCACCACCCACCGCCAATTCTTGGGCTACTCTTTTACCAACGAATAGTGGGATTGACCGTCACGTTATAACGCCCCCACGAAACCCGCGACCCGCAGACTGCGAGTCAAGCGCGAGCTATGAGATAAAAGTTTGTACTTGGAAAAAAACAAAATAACGATTATTTAAGATTATTGCGATTTGAAAGTAATATCTCTATATGATTTCTTTAGCGGCTGTTATTACTGAACAGACAAACAATATCAAAAATTAGAGTAAATATAAATATTTTGGCAATTTCAGAACTCAGCCATTGTTGGTTAAAAAAATCAGAACTCAGCCATTGTTGGTTAGTAAAAAAAATCAGAACTCAGCCATTGTTGGTTAGTACAAAAAAATCAAAACTCAGCCATTGTTGGTTAGTAAAAAAAATCAGAACTCAGCCATTGTTGGTTAGTACAAAAAAATCAAAACTCAGCCATTGATGGTTAGTAAAAAAATCAAAACTCAGCCATTGTTGGTTAGTAAAAAAAATCAAAACTCAGCCATTGTTGGTTAGTAAAAAAATCAAAACTCAGCCATTGTTGGTTAGTAAAAAAAATCAGAACTCAGCCATTGTTGGTTATTAAAAAAAATCAAAACTCAGCCATTGTTGGTTAGTAAAAAAAAAATCAAAATGAATTTCAATTAAATTTCCTATTATAAAAATGATATCATGTGATACCATTATTCATAAATGATGTATGATATCATTATTTATAAGTTTGAGTTGTATTTGGCAACAGTGATTAGTTGGATATGCAAGTGTTTAAAACACCAATATTCCCGTTTATTTGATATTATATGTATATATATTTGTATTAATTTGAAAGGAATTCCAACTACATGTGGTGTCAACTTATGTCTTTTTAATAAAACGTAACTTATGAGTTAATCTAGAATGGTTTTTATTTATTTGTAGTTACGCACAAAGCTACACAATGGGCTATCTGTGCTGTGCCAACCACGGATATCGAAACCCGATTTTTAGCGTTATAAATCTAGAATGCATGGGCAAAAAGAAAGTTCTACAAATGATGTAAAATTATATATATATATTTTATGCTTTCGATATGTTTGTTAGTTTTGATTTTCGCGCAAAGCTACACTACAGATATCTGCGCTAACTGTCCCTAATTTAGCGGTGAAAGACTTAGAGTGAAGTCATCACCACCCACCGTCAACTCTTGGACTACTCTTTTACCAACGAATAGTGGGATTGACTGTCACATTATAACGCCCCTACGGCTGAAAGGACGATCATGTTTTGGTGGGACGGGGATTCGAACCCGCGACCCTCAGATTGCGAGTCGAGTGCCCTAACCACCTGCCCATGCAAGCCCTTTTCGATATGTAACTATGCCCTCGGTAAAGCTTGCGAAACAAATATATATTGCTTTTTTTAAAAATTATAATAAATAATTAAAAACATCGTTTTATATTTACACAATAAAAACTTTATTAAAGCCGTACGGCTTTCACTTTAGAATATCTCTTTACAAGTACATGTTTGGACGTGTATCACGTAGGATGACGTAGATTACGTCGAAACATGTACTCGTAGAGAGATAGTTTAAAGTGGAAGCCGTACGGCTT